TGTTTCAATTCATAGGTAAGATCTACGCGTGGGATGTCGTCAATGAGGCGATCGATGAAGTGTCCGGCGAACTAAGGGACAGCATATGGTCGCGAACTTTTAACTACAGTTTCATTGAGGAGGCCTTCCGTACGGCACACGCGGCTGACCCTAACGCCAAGCTATACATCAATGAGTACAACCTCGACGCCATTGACACAAAGTCAGACGCCTTATACGCGTTGGTCAAGGAGTTGAAGGGTAAAGGAGTGCCCGTTCATGGGGTGGGTTTGCAGGGTCACTTCAGGGAGAATGAAGTTCCCTCAACTTTTCAAGATAATCTTCAACGCTTCTCCGATTTGGGAGTGGATGTGGCTATTACTGAGCTTGGTATCCGGTATAAGTTACCAGGCTCAGCTGATAAGATTGCCAAACAAGCCCAGGATTATAGCCATGCTTTCAGCGCCTGTATGAACGTGGACAGGTGTGTCGGGGTAACCGTTTGGTGCTTTACCGATAAACACTCTTGGGTGGAAGAATGGGAAAAGGGTTATGGGGAACAGGAGTTATGGACTCAGGATTATAAACCCAAACCCGCCGTAGACGCTGTCGATAAAGTTTTGAAATGAATGCACCTTTGTCAATTGCAAATAATTAATAATTTTGTATAAAATCTTGACTTCATTTATCTGCTTTTAAATAAATAATAATAAATATTAAATTAATTTTATAAAGAAAATAGTTAAGTACCGGTAATATTTTTTTTATTAAAAGTAATATCAATTTTGGAGTTTAATCAATAAAAAACTGATATCCCCTCATAAGTTATGTTACGAAATAAAATGTAAAAACTTTATAATCAATAGTTATGTGAGAGATATAGCAATTAAGAGATGGCATATAACGTTAGATAACATTTGATACAATTATGTAGGGAATAAAGCTTAAGATTTTTACGGTATTTACGCTTAGAATGTATAAAAAGTCTGGTTTGTTTTGTAAGTTGTTAGCAACGAGTTAATTAAGAGCTAACAAAGTTTTCATTATTTATCACAAATATTATTTATTTATCAATATTATAACATTTGTGTACAATTGCACTCACGTTTAAAATACAAGTACAGTAATTGTCTTATAATTAGTTACTATTGTTGAACATTAATCCAGTAGATAATTTGAAACACTTCATTATTAATTGATTAATAATTTATTACAAGTATGGTCAATGTTATCAAATATATTTTAGATAAATTTATATTTCATCTATATTTTGGTATATAAATGTGTTGTTTATATATATATATATATTTAACAAGCACACTGTAATAATTATCTGAGAAATTATTGAAACATACTGTCATAAAATGCTCAATTAATACTTGTGTCAATTCATTAACTAATTGTTTTAGAAATTTAACTTTTACTAAACTGTATATTAGATTAATATAAAGCACTCGAAAATGCTGTCCACGTCAATCATTTTAGTGGTGGTACTTATTGTGTAAGTATTTCACAAATATTTTTACATAACTTATATTTTTTGAATTTAAAACTTATTTTTCGTGAATATGTTGGGCACCGGCAGCTCGGGCGAGGGTCACCTCCGAGATCATGCCAAACAGAAGTACATCGGAACGGCCTTTGATTCCGGTGCCTTCAGCGACCAGAAATACCTGGAAATACTGAGCCAGGAGTTCAATTGCATTACACCCGGGAATGAGATGAAATGGGGGCCTCTGGAGCCCATCAAAGGGCAGTACAACTGGGGAAACGCCGACAAATCGGTTGCGTATGCAGAGCAACACAATATGAAGACCAGGGGATGTTGCCTCATCTGGCACGAACAGTTGCCCGAATGGATTGCGGGACTTGAGGGCAAAAAGGCTGAGCTCGAGCAAGTGATCAAGGACCATATTACTACAGTGGTTGGACATTTTAAAGGTATAGATAAAAATTGTTTTATTAATTTATTTAAATTTAATTTTTAACTTTCAACTAAATTCAACTTGTTACTGATAAACTAGTATTAGTTCTACTTTTCAAAATCATACACAATGATTTTAAAATTATTTGCAATTAATTATTATTTATTTCTGTTTTATGGTATTAACGAAAAGTTTTATAAATTAAAAGTAGTTAATAATAAAAATATGTTTCAATTCATAGGTAAGATCTACGCGTGGGATGTCGTCAATGAGATGATCGATGAGGTGTCCGGCAAGCTAAGGGACAGCATATTCTCGCGAACTTTTAACTACAGTTTCATTGAGGAGGCCTTCCGTACGGCACACGCGGCCGACCCTAACGCCAAGCTATACATCAATGAATACAATCTCGAAGCCGTTGATACAAAGTCAGACGCCTTATACGCGTTGGTCAAGGAGTTGAAGGGTAAGGGAGTGCCCGTT